GAAATTCTGAACCATGCCAACAACTAGCAGGTCAGAATGCACAGGGAAGCCATTGAAATCCACAAACACTTGGACAACTTCACAGGAAAGAAGAAATCCTTAAAGTAAACTGTGGGGGGAAGCAGACTGGCGGCAACTTCTCCTTCCACTTCTCATCAGACCACAAAGAAGTGGCAAAAATGTTCCACATTTCCTTTGTGTTGGGGTTCATAAAAACTTTGCATAGTACTGTTGAAATCAGTGGCCTCATTCACATAGGAAAATGAGATCATGCACTGCATTATCTTATTGTTGTGGACATGTCACCTCCTTCTCTGTCTTTGAACTCTCACACCCAAGAGTGCTCCCAAAGCAGCAAGTCTTCACAGCGGAGCATCCCTCATCTAGAGGCAGATGAGGAAAGTGGATTGCAAACATTACAACATTGTTTACAAAACAGCTATGGACACAGAATCCATGACCCTTGCCAGCAGAACACAAGGCGGTGTTACCAGAAATGCCAGACAGCTGATGTTCATGACCACACCTCCGAGTGCTTGTGTCACCAGAAACATGTAGATGCACATCATAAGATTGATATTTAAAACAAAACAGGATGGGTCAATCGCGTCCGATATTGAGAATCCATTTTGTAGTGGTACAAAAGTAAGTGTGAACATGAATTGTGTTAAATGGACATGAATACATTTGGTAATGGAAAACGTAGTGTGCACTTTGTTTCAATTCAGATCAATTCTGTGATCCCAATTCTATGCGACTCAGGAATCTATTTAAATGCAAGTATGAATGAGCCCATAGATTCTATTTGAAGAACCTGCTGCATTTCATCTGGGAGAGAACTGTGAAAAAACTTCCTAGCCTGGACCACTAGTGAGGAAATGTCCCTAGGAATGCCATGGCAAAGACAGTTATCATATCAACACAATAATAGAAAAATGAAGGAGGGAGTGAAAGAGAATAATATTCAGGTTTAGTTATGTGCAGAGTAACACAGGACCTGAATAGACTGTCAGAAATAATCCAAATTGAGACCACTTTAACTGTCCTGGCTCAGTGCTAGGGAATCATGGGAACCGTAGTTTATTGTGGCACCAGAGTTCTCTGACAGAGAAGGCTCAATGTCACAGAAAAAAAACTACAGCATTGAGCCAGGACAGTTAAACTGATCTGAAGCTGGATCATTTCTGGCAGTCTGTTCAGGCCAACAGTTGAAATCAATGGGACTTCAATAATCAATTTCAGTTCTCTAAGCATGATCAAATAGGAATCAATCCTACATATTCTTGTCCTTACTAGTGGCAAGTGTTAACTTTATGTCATATTTCTCTTCAAGGAAGTCATACAAGCTGTGGGTAGGTTTGTCACGAGATGCTTTAGCCATGATATCTATCTGTACATCTTTTAGATTTGGGCTTGAAGTCATGAGGAACGAAGGATGTCAAGTGATGAGAGATGCTAATAATTGAAATCCTAGCTCTCGAATTCCTGTGATTGAATTTTTAAAAATAGTTAGAAAAACACAGCCTGAAACTACAGCAGGGATGCAAAGATTTGAGAGTTAAAAGGAAGGCTAATTAGTTTCAGATCTTGCAATTAGCACCACCGTGGAAGCCTGACCATTTGGGAATGCCACAAACAACATTAATATTAACACGACAACAAAAGTAACATTCTGAAGCACTCAGATTTTAGGTCAACACCACTTTGAATTGATAAATAATGTATCACTGTGGCAAACGATGTGTGGGAAAGGTATTGATTCAAAGAGAATCAGAAAAAGCAACAGTAACCCCCCCCCCCAACAAATCCAGCATAGAGAGTTCCCAACAAAGAGAGGCCTCTTTGATGAGACCATATTTAAGTCTGTTGAGATTTTCTCCACCCAATCCTACATCATGGTCTAATTGCTCCATTTGGCAACAACAACAAAACCCTCATCCACTTATTTCATTCCCTTGTGCTGAATTTGAACTATTGCTTGTTAGACCAGACCACATGGTAGCAACAGCCATCAGCTGATTGGGAATCACATACCACCAAACAGATGGCGGAAAATTCTGGGTGTTATTTAGGACAAACATGGCATATAACCTCTTTAACTGAAATGGCTTGGAGGCATCCCAAATATCCTGACAACCAGAAGCTGAGAATAAACAAAAGTGTCTTTTGCTATGTACATGCTGACATGAAGCTACACAATGAATGAAGGCATTCTTTTCGCCTTCTTGTCATGTTGGGGAAACAACAGCAGGAGAGAAATTACATGTCCCAGATATCATTTCTCTTGGTTTTGAGATCCAAGTGGTCATTACAAGACTTGGAAGTGCTACAGAGTTGCAGGATGACTGCAGGAGGTGGCAGGGATTGGGGGCCAAGCAACCTGAAGTTCAGAGCTTGCTTAAAGAAAAAGTGAGAATGGTAGAGAGATTTGCAAAAAGAAGGGTGAAAGTGGTCAAAGATTGGGGATAGGGAAGAGAAAGGAAAAGGATAAAATAGGGGGAAAGTAGGAAAAGAGGGGGCTGCCAATGCTCAGAGAAAGTACTCTCAGGAAAATAGATGTGGATAACCAGTCCACTTTGATTTATGGTGCCCATATGATTGAGAGACCTCCAATCACCCTGTAAATACAGCCCTTTTCAAATCTTGCAGACTCAGGGCTGTGATTTCCTTGACTGAGGTTCCATCCACACTACAAAAATAATCCAGTTTGACATCACTTTAAATGCCATGGCTCAATGCTATGGAATTCTGGGAATTGTAGATTGTTGAGGCACCAGAGCTCTCTGACTAGTCTGACAGAGAAGGCTAAATGTCTCACAAAAATACAGTTCCCAGAATTCCATAACACTGAGCATGGCAGTTAAAGTGGTGCTAATTTCTGCAGTGTGGATGCAGCCGGAGTCAAACCATCTGCAGTGTGACTTCCTTTTTTCCTACTGCCTTCCAACTTGCCAAGCATTATTGTCTTTTCTAGTGGGTCTTTACTTCTCATAATCTGAGAAAAGTACAGCAGTCTCAGTTTAATCATCTTGGCTTCAAGGGAAAGCTTGGGTCTGATTTGCTCTAGAACTCATGTACTTATCCTTATGGCAATTCAGGGTGAGATCCAGTGTGATGTAGTGGTTTGAGCACTGGACATTGATTCTGAAGACCAGAGGTTTGAATCCCTGCTCAGCCACGGAAATGTACTGGCTGACTTTGGGCAAGTCACACTATCTCAGCCATAGAGGAAGGGAAAGGAAAATCTGAGCAAATCTTGGCAAGAAAATTCGATGACAGGGTTGTCTTGGGGTTGTCACAAGTCAGCAATGACTTGAAGACACACAACAACAACAGTCCAGGATATCCACAAAAGTCTCTTCCAGCACCATATCTCAAATGAGCCTTCTTCTGATTTCTTGACTGTAGTCTCCATTTTAATTAATGACTGAGACTGAGGCCTTTGCAGACTGCCAGAAATAGTGCAAATTGAATCCACTTTAACTGCCCTGGCTCAGTGCTAGGGAATCATGGGAATTGTTTTTTTTTTCTGAGACCTTCAGCCTTCTCTGTCAGACAGCTCTGGTGCCACAATAAAATACAGTTCCCATGATTCCCTAACCCTAACCCTAACCCTAAAAGTGGACTCAATTTGCACTATTTTTGGCAGTCTGCAAAGGCCCTGAGCCAAGATAAAGAGAATCTTTGTCTATTTCAATGTAATAGTCAGGAAAGGATTACCTTGCTTGACTTGCTAGACATTCCCAAAGAAGTGCTGGGGAGCACTGTAATTCTGAATGAATGAGTGCAGAAAAGGGAAGATCTTGGAGGTGATAGAGGAGGAAAAACTAAACAGGTATTTCTGATAAGAGTTCCAGATGCAGGATGGATCCACACTGCAGAATTAAAGCAGTTTGACACCACTAACCGCTATGATTCTATACACAGAATCTTTGGATTTGTGGTTTAGTGAGATATATTCAGTCTGGTCTGTGAGAGCTCTGGAACCTCACCAAACTATAAATCCCAGGATTTTGTTGGATAGAATTATAACAGTTAAAGTGGCATTAAATTGCTTTAATTCCACAGTTTGCATGCACTTGTGACTTCAGGTTAAAAAGAGCTAGGTAAAGCCTAGCCTGTGATTTAGCAATATTCTTCTTTTTGTTGCTATTTTGTTCATTTTGATCCCACCCACTGCCAAAACTGAAAATCAAACCAGCTTGCAAATTGTTAAAACCAGTACAAATTGAATATATATGGA